TCCATCCTCTGCGAGAACAATTCCGTTGACGACACAGTTCTTGAAAGGAAGCTTGCCAAAGAGGTGGGTACCAAGCACAGTCAGGGTGTAGAACCAACCACGAGTCTGGTCAAGACCCTCTGCGATGAAGTCACCGGGGAAGCTGTTCTCGAACTGTTCCTTGTTCTCAAAGGGGTAGTGCTGGGATGCATAAGGCATGCTGCCAGACTCAAACCAGCAATCAAACACCTCGCTAACACGGCGAAGGACACCCTTGCCCTGCTTGCTGGGGATGGTGATCTTGTCGACCTTGTCGCGGTGCAGGTCGGTGAGTTCACCCTCGTAACCACTAAGCTGCTTGAGTTCCTCGGCACTACCAACGGCGACAACCTCCTTGAAGTCATCGCTCACCCACAAGGGCAGAGGAGTACCCCAGAAACGGTTTCTCGAGATGTTCCAGTCGCGAGCATTCTGGATCCAGCTGGAGAAGCGTCTCTCCTTGACAAAGCTCGGTACCCAGTGGGAGTCGTCAATGCCCTGGAGCATCTGAGGGATGATGGGGCCGATCTTGACGAACCAAGCCGGCACGGCCCGGTAGATCAAGGGAGTGTCGGAACGCCAGCAGAAGGGGTAGCTGTGAGTAATCTGGCTGTCGACAACCAGACGTCCAGCAGCCTTCAGGTGCTTGATGATGCCCCTGTCGGCAGCCTTGACGTGTTGGCCCTCGAAGTCCTTCACTTCGGCTGTGTAGCAACCCTTTTCATCAACAGGGTTAGGGGGGAGACGGCTCTCACTGATGACGCCGTTCTCCATGCCAACTCTGTAATCGTCCTCACCAAAGGCGGGAGCCTGGTGGACGATACCGGTACCGTCCTCAGCAGTAACGTACTCGGCGTTAAGGACCCGGAAACCGTGCTCCTTGAACTCTTCGTAGAAGTAATCGAAGAGGGGCTGGTACTTCCAGTCCTTCATGGTAGCACCCTTAAAGCGGTCGACGATCTTGAACTTGGCCTTCTTGGGATCCTTGTACAGCGTCCGGAGCAGAGACTCGAGCAGGATGTAGTGCTTTCCAGATGCCTCGTCGAGGATCTTGATGTATTCGAAGGTGGGGTTGACCGCGAGGGCAATGTTCGAGGGCAGGGTCCACGGCGTGGTCGTCCATGCAAGAAGGGAAGTCTCGGGCTCGTGGACGAGGGGGAATGTGACGACGACGGCAGGGTCTTGCACATCCTTGTAGTTTTGTTGAGCCTCGAAGTTACTGAGGGGGGTGTTGAGGGCGGTCGAGTAAGGCATGACGCGGTAGCCTCTGTAGACAAGGTCCTTGTCGAACAGTTGCTTGAAGACCCACCACACTGATTCCATGAAGCTCACGTTCATGGTCTATAATGCATGGTCAGCATATGTAGAGACCGCGGGGTATAAGATGATGGGCCTGTCTACCTTATAGTCATTGTCAAAGTCGATCCAACGACCCAGTCGCTCGATAGTTTGACGCCATTCCGAAGCAAATCTCATGACAATGGCTCTGCACTCCTCGTTGTACTTCTCAATACCAATTTTCTCGACGGCCTCGAGACCCGACATGCCCAGCTTCTTGTCGATCTCGTACTCGATGGGCACACCATGGGTATCCCAGCCAAAGCGACGCTCGACATAGTGACCCTTCATGGACCAATAACGGGGAATGATATCCTTGATGGTCGAGGCCAACAAGTGACCATAGTGAGGCAGACCGGTAGCGAAGGGAGGGCCATCGTAGAAGGTGTATGGTTTACGACCTTCGGAGAGCTCAACCTGCCTCCGGAAGGCGTTGATCTCCCTCCACCTCTGGAGGATGGCCTCCTCCTCGCGGGGAAAATCAATGGACATGACGGGCGAGCGGGGAAGGGGAGAGGAGGTGACAGGGAGGAAATCTGTCGACTTGCGATCTTCCAGCGAGGGATCCGCGGGGTAGATTTAAAGCCCGATTGAAGGTTGCGCACAAGCGGCAGAATCGTTTTGACTCACCCCGCGCACCATTTTTTTGTCTCCGCTGACCAATCAGCGCCCGCTTCGCCTACCGCCGACATCAGCCGATGTGACTGTCCCTCTTTCAATGCGGATTCATAAACATCTCTAAATATGGAATAGTTTGGCTCAGGTACACTGTACAATGGCTACTACGCTAGTCACAAGGCTGATTCCCATCTTTGATGTACAATTTGGGACTAACCTCCCATGGCTCTGACTCATGCTTTCTTCGTTATTGGAATCAATCCAGGGCTGTCGCAACTCATGGCTGCTACGCCCTGCGCCTCATGCAAGGACCACCAATAATGGCATTTCCATCAGGCTTCCTTCTCTTCCTCCTCTTCCTCCTCTTCCTCCTCCTCCTCCTCCTCCTCCTCCTCCTCCTCGTCATCTTCAGCTTCGGACACTTCTTGACCGAGATCCTTCAAACGTTGCTATGGAACAGTATGAGTCATCTGCATAGTCATTGGGTTAGGGCCAGTAGGCTTACCTTGTCCTCATTTCTCTTAGCCTCCAGGTCTCCGAACACGATCAGCAAATCCTCAAGCTCAGACTGTGCCGCCTTGCGAGCTTCCTCCTTCTCCTTGGCCTCCGCCTTGGCCTTCTCGAGCTGTTTCCGGGCCTCTTCAAGCGCTTGGGTAGCCTTGCGTGCTGCCTCCTCAGCCTTTTTTACCTCACTTTCGGCCTTCTCGGCTCGCTTCTCCGAGGCAGTGCACTTAGAGGACAGTTCATCGCGTGTAGACTGTAGTTCTGTCGTAGCTTTCTCCTTAGCAGTGTCCAGTTCCGATTGTAAGGCCTTGGACGCAGACTTGAGCTCCGCAACCTCGGTCTCATGCTGCTTTTTAGCGGCGTCCATTTCAGACTTAAGCGTCTTGATGGTTTCTTGGAAGCTGGTTACTTCAGTTGCCTGCTTTCCTTTGCCAGCCTCCAGCTCGGCTTGAAGGCTCTCGATCGTCTTCTTCAAATCGGACACCTCACTAGCATTCTGTCCGTTGCTGGAATCAATCTCCGACTGCAGCGTCTCAATCGTCTTCTTCAGATCAGAAACCTCTGCCGCGCTCTGGCCACTGCTAGCGTCAAGCTCCGACTGCAGCGTCTCGATTGTCTTCTTCAGGTCAGAAACCTCTGCCGCGCTCTGGCCACTGCTGGCGTCAAGCTCCGACTGCAGCGTCTCGATTGTCTTCTTCAGGTCAGAAACCTCTGCCGCACTCTTTCCGTTGCTGGCATCGAGCTCCGACTGTAACTTCTGGATCGTCTTGTTGAGGTCGGAGACCTCAGACTCATGTTTCTCTTGACTGGCATTCATCTGCGACTTGAGCTCCTCGATTGTCTTGTTCAGACCAGAGACTTCGGTAGTATGCTGTCCTCTGCCTGTCTCCAGCTCTGACTGCAACTTCTGGATTGTGGTGTTCAACTCAGAGAGCTTGGCCTCATGGTGTCCCTTAATCGTGTCGAGTGCTGACTGAAGATTTTGAATTGTGGTGTTAAGTTCCAGAACTTGAGCCACATGCTGTCCCTTCATCTTTTCCGCCTCCGTCTTCAAGATCTGGATAGTAGTCTTCAGGTCAGCAATCTCAGCAGAGGATTGCTCCTTGCCGCGATTGAGATCAGATTCGAGCGAACGAATCTTTTTCTGCAGGTCAGCCACCTCGGCTTCATGATGCTTCTTTACTTGGAGACTTCTCCTCTCATGGTCTGCAGATGTTTCCTTCAGCTGTCGATCAATAGCTCGTAACTGTTCGCCATGCTGTTTCAAGAGTACATTTTGAGCGTGCTTCTGCTGCTCCTTCAAGACATTCAGTTCTTGTTCGTGACTCCGCTTCAATGAATCACAGATCTGCTGCAGTTTAGAAGACTCTAATATGGTGGCGTCTCTCGTCTTTCGATGTTCAGCCTGCTCGTGATCGAGCTTGGATTGCAGAGCAAGCAGATCCGACTCCAGCTTCCGTGACAAAGCGCCCTTTTCTTCTAGTTCTGCCCGAAGCGAGTCCACAAGTTCGCGAGAAACTCCTCTTTCAACACCATTGGTGATCACTGAGATCTCGATCTCGGGCTCACGGTCAATCGCACGTAGCAAGCGGCTGAAATTGTCTTTGAGAAATTCAACAAAGGTCCTGTCGAAGTAGATTTCCGGAAGGCCACTGTCGTATTGTGCCCCCACGGTCTGTGGTAGGACCTCAAAGTCACGTACCAGAGGGTCCTCTCTGAACCGGGTGATCCGGTCAATGTATTGTTCTCGTCCTAGCTGCTCGATCAACAACTTATGCAGAGTCTTCCGCGGTATGGGCGAGTCCTTTGAGGAAAATTCGTATATAATTCCGAGTAGAATGGTGCAAAGACCCGGAACAAGTACATAAGTGGCTCCGCGGTGCTTGATTTCTTGCAGCAAGGTCTGTATGCTGCTTCCCTCGCCCAACAAGTCATTCACAGCATCCGGTTCTTCGAAGAGCCAACCACAGAGCAGCATCAAATATCCAAGGGTGATTCTTTCATCATCGCCTCTTTGAATACCGGTGATCAAGTTGCCTACTATCGTCTGGATGCAGGTAACGACTTCTTCACCCTGTTCAGCATCCCCCTCAGTCACACCCATGGCGATTGATTTGGCTTCAGCGTTCTCGAACAGCAGTTGGTACATCAAGACAGAAGCCATCCAGGTTTGGTAGGGGTCGGCATTTCCTCGAGCTTCTGGCGGCAGCAGCAGGACAGTCAAGATATTGGGTATCTGGTCTTCTCCGCTAATATGACCTTGGATCGCTCTTCCTAGCACATGGACACGGATCCCGGTGTGGTTTGCGAAGAATGCCTTGATACATTCGCAAGCGGCAAGTCGTGCATCAAGAAGCGACAATGGAGCAGGCTCGAGAGTCAATTTCAGCAACGCTTCGATAACATTGATCCGCTGGAGTTCTTGATGTGTCGCATCCCCATTGACAGCATTCGGAGTAGGACTCGAGCCCCAAATGACCTCAACGTCTCCAAAACGCTCCTGCAAGGGCTTATTGCTACGTATTAAGTCGGCGCATGTCGCAAGAGCCTAGCACAATTAGCGTCCAACTTTATAGGCGATCAGTGTCTCATACCTTGGATGTCACATTGACATTAAATCTTTGACCGAAAGCAGTGTTCAGGACTTGTTCCATGACACCATTGTTCCAGAACGCCGTCTGGTTGGCAGGAGTGTTGACCCCTCCTTTGATTAGAAACAGCTGGACGATAACCAAAAGTCCCCAGAGGTTCTTATCCCGATGCGCGAGAGCCCATTGTGGGGTGGGCTCTTCCGAGTCCTGATCCTGATTGACATCCGCGAGGAGCTTTGCTAGCCTTTTGACACAGCCCGTCTCCCGAAAATATGACTGGTTGGAGATGTTGAGCCTCAGAAGGTTCGCGAGTAAGGAAAGGCAGTCTTCAACCACTTCCGATCCGTGAGTCAAAGCACCTTCAGCTTCTATCAAGGAGAAGATAAGGTCAAACGCGTTTTCGAATGCGACGAGCTTTTGGAACTCTTCGGAGGCCGGAGTGAGAGCGATCAAGAGAATTAAAGCTTCTATTCGATGCACAGTCGTAATTAGCAACAGTTGCACACCGCGCTTCCGCGCTGAGGGGGGCGAGGGGGGTGAGCTCAACATACCATTGCGCACCGGCTCTCTAGCATCTCCCAGAGCACTGACCAGCCTCGGTATACCCAACGGCGCCGTCAGGATACATTCTTGTGTTCTTTCTGGCCGTGCGCTCGAGATCTGGAACATCAACTGCAGGGCATACAAGCGAGAGTAAAAGTCACGAGTATCCAGGAGGTCAAGGAGCGCAGTAATATTGTCTTGACGCTTTTTGCCTGGTCAGCAAGTGCATGTCTCGGCCAGTAACATGTACAAACCTGCGTAAATTCATCGGACAGCCAAAGGGCGATTTCGTCTGAAGCTTCGGGCTAGACAGCGCATATCAGCAGGGAATGCGACAAACTCGGCTAAAGAGGCCACCAACACTATTCTCGTCCGGGTTAAACAACATCAACAAGGTCTCCAAGACCACCTTCAACGTATCCACATCTTCACGATCATCTTTGAGGCTGTTGATCAACGGGCGTAGTGCGCCCGAAGCAACGGAGGCAGGAAAGGACTTTGCAAAGCTTCTCAATCCTTGTATAGCTGCCCGTCGATCTTCTAGTAAAGTTGCACTCTGAAGCCGACCAGTCAGAGTATTAATTGTGTCGCTGGCCGTTTGTTTGGCCGGCGCCTGCGACTCGAGGATTCGGAACATCGCAACTGGTAGCTCGTAATTTCATGGTCACCGCCGGCCGGGGGCGTAGCAAGTTATAGGCATTGAATTCACGGAGGTGTGGGGAGAGAGGAGAGAAGCGAGTGGATCAGCCAGCTGAGTTGTTCTCTCCGAAGCTGCAGCGGCAGCAATGGGTGGTGGTGATTATGATGAGAGCACACGGGATAGTGCCAGTAGTCCGCAGTATGGAGTTAGTAGTAGCCAAATAAGCCGCAACGATACCTAACTCAAAAGAATTAGAGCCAACAATGCTGTACTGCTGTGTCCCGACTGGTCATTGGTCAGGGTGTCGGGGGCCCGCTGACTACGTACTTTGCTGCTTTGAGTCTAGTGTCTAAAAGGGGAAGTTCTGCCGGAACCGCGACAAAAGAAGCGCCGAGATCTCGGATTTCATGGTCGGGCAAGTCGACCGGCCATTGCGATCGCAGAGACTTCTACGCCTTCATCATTCCCCCTCACCTCTCGAGAGGGTCAGTTTTTTACTCCTAGTCATTCCCACAGTGTGGGATCGCGAGTTTCCCTTTCCCCTACACCCTATACCCTTCTACGGAAGTAATCATTTACGGGTCATTCCTGCAGACTCGGAGACGTTGAGATAGCCGATGCAGCGCATCAGCGAACCTGGCTTAAATCGATAGATCTACTCCGTATAATCTGTACAAACATCTTCATACACTCTTTGTCAAATTCTACTAGCAATCATGGGTGTCCCAGCGCTTTTCAGATGGCTTTCCAACAAGTATCCTAAGATCATCTCCCCCGTTATCGAGGAGTTTCCGCAAGAAATCAACGGCGAAGAGGTTCCCGTGGACACCACGCGTCCCAATCCCAATGGAGATGAGATGGATAATTTGTACCTGGATATGAACGGTATCGTTCACCCATGTACTCATCCGGAAGGAAAGCCGCCACCGTCGAATGAGCAGGAGATGATGCTGGAGATCTTCAAGTACACCGACCGTGTGGTGAACATGGTCCGCCCGAGGAAGCTTCTGATGATTGCTGTTGGTATGTTGTAACTCTTATCGCGTCGCCTACTTAAATCAAAGTGTTAGACTAACTCATGCTTTTCGCCTAAACTAGATGGTGTTGCGCCACGCGCAAAGATGAACCAACAACGAGCCCGTCGGTTCCGCTCTGCTCAGGAGGCCAGAGAGGCAGATGAGAAGAAGGAAGAATTCCGCAAAATGCTTGAGAGGCAAAACGGCAAGAAGGAAGACGAGGATATGCAGGAACAGGTCATCCAAAAGACGTGGGATAGCAATGTCATTACCCCGGGAACGCCTTTCATGGATATTCTCGCGGCAGCTTTGCGCTACTGGATCGCTTACAAGCTCAATACCGACCCCGCTTGGGAAAAGGTTCGTCTCCCGGTCTAATTCTAGTTCTATATCTTACTGACTCAAGCAGCTTAAAATCATCATCTCGGATGCGACGGTTCCGGGTGAAGGTGAACACAAGATCATGGAGTTCGTCCGGTCACAGCGCGCGTCGCCAGAGCACGACCCCAACACCCGCCACGTCATCTATGGATTGGATGCCGATTTGATCATGTTGGGTCTTGCGACTCATGAGCCCTATTTCCGGGTCCTACGTGAGGATGTCTTCTTCCAGGAGTCAAGGGCTCGGACATGTCGGCTATGTGGACAGGCAGGCCACAAGGCGGAGGAATGCAAAGGTCAGGCAAAGGAGAAGAATGGACAGTTCGATGAGAAGGGTAAAGGAACCTCACTCAAGCCCTTCATTTGGCTCAATGTGTCAATCCTTCGGGAATACCTTGCTGCGGAACTGTACGTTCCGCAACAACCGTTTCCTTTCGACTTGGAACGTGCTCTGGATGACTGGGTCTTCATGTGTTTCTTCGTAGGAAATGATTTCCTTCCTCACTTACCCTCCTTAGATATCCGTGAAAATGGCATCGACACTCTGATAGCTATTTGGCGTGATAATATCCCCGTCATGGGCGGGTACCTGACCGAGGATGGACATGTTGACCTCAAGCGGGCCCAGCTTATTCTGCAAGGGCTGGCTAAGCAAGAGGATGCTATTTTCCGTCGTCGTAGACAGGCCGAGGAGAGGAGAGCTGCCAACGAGAAGCGGCGCAAGCAGGAAGCACAAGCGCGTGAAGAAGGTGCTAGGAAGCGAAGGAAAAGCTCTCCCAACTACGAAGCCTACGAGACACCTGCCGGCAATCCTAGCGGTGGTCGGTCTAAGGGTGCCGCAGATGCGGCGCCTCCCAATGCCGTGGAACTGATCACGCCTCAACGGGGAGAACTGACCCGGGAGGCGAGGCAGTTGACTCACAGCATGGTTACTAACCGCGGTGCGGTGTATAAGGCTAACATGGCGAACAAGAGTGCCGCGGCCATTCTGAAGAGCAAGCTCATGAAAGGTTCGGAGGCTGAAGAACCCTCCGAGAACACTGAAGAATCCGGGTCAGAAGCTCCAGAGCCTTCCGAGGAGAAGACCGAAGAGCAAACTTCGCCTTCGGTTCTCGGTAAGAGAAAGGCGGATGAGGTGGCAGAGGAGGCCGCAACGACGCCGACCAAGAAGCCATCCGCGGGCGACTCTCAAAACGATGAACTGCCGCCCGACACTGTCCGCCTGTGGGAAGAAGGATACGCTGATCGGTACTATGAGCAGAAGTTTGGCGTCGATCCCGAAGACAAAGAGTTCCGCCACAAGGTCGCACGGGCGTATGCCGAGGGTCTTGCTTGGGTTTTGAGATACTATTTCCAAGGATGCCCCTCGTGGACGTGGTACTACCCTTACCACTATGCGCCATTTGCGGCTGATTTCGTGGATATTGGCGAAATGGAGTTGCAATTTGAGAAGGGAACCCCATTCAAGCCCTTCGAACAGCTGATGGGAGTTCTTCCGGCTTCTTCCAACCACGCTATCCCTGAAGTCTTCCATGATTTGATGAGCGATCCGGATAGTGAGATCATCGATTTCTACCCGGAAGACTTCCCCGTGGACCTGAACGGCAAGAAGTTTGCTTGGCAGGGTGTCGTTCTACTTCCCTTCATCGACGAGAAGCGACTGCTGGCTGCGATGGAAAAGAAGTACCCCCTCCTCTCTGATGATGAGAAGCTCCGGAACTGTGTGGGCCGGGATGTGTTGTTGATCTCCGAGAGCCACCCACTGTACCACGATCTGGTGGCCAACTTCTATTCCAAAAAACAGGGAGCCCCCAAGTACTCCATCAATCAGCGAATCAGTGAAGGTTTGGCTGGTAAGGTCGAGCGCAATGAGTCGTACATCCCGCACAGCTCCTTGGTATCGTCTCTTGAAGAATACGGGATGCCGAGTTTGGATGATGATCGATCTCTCACGTAAGTTACTTGTTATGTTTCATACTTCCTTTGTGCTGTTTACAGTTAGCTAATGTTCCGGATCCATGGGTTAGAGTCAATTACGAAATCCCCAAATCCAAGCACGTCCACAAGTCCATGCTCCTTCGGGGCGCCAAGCTGCCACCTCCGACTCTGGACAATGCGGATATCCAGGCCGTCAAGAACAAGGCACACCACTCGGGCCGATTCCATGGAGGAGCTCCGCTTCGCAATGGCCACCGGGGAGGCCGGATCAACTATGCCAGTGAGCGGCCGAACCCATTCGCGGCCCATCTGGACCCCAAGTTCATGCCGCCCGGTAACAGTGGTGGAGCGCCGACGGGCATGCCTTCTGGATGGGTTCCTCCGAACGCTGGAGGCGGTGGTTACAACCGCGGGCCACCGCCTCCGCCCCGCGGAGGAGGAGGTGGTTACCACCAGCGATCGCACTATGGCGGCGGTGGTGGTGGTGGTGGTGGTGACTCCTACAACCAACCAATGGGCAATTACGATTACTATGGACGTAGTCAACAAGGATACTATCAGCAGCAAGGATCCTACGGTGGTAGCAACCACAACAACGCGTACCGTGGACGCTCATCCAACTACGGGGGATCCGACCAGCGCGGTGGGTATAGCCGCGGAGGTTATTCAGGTCGGGACCACTATTCGTCCCGGAACTCTGGCGGTGGTGGAGGAGGTGGATATGGACGGTATTAGATAAGGGGATCATGTTCGAGAACATGAGAGATTCGGAATGAAAGGGAATGTCTATTACGCATGATCGATCCAGGGCCATTTACGCCAATGCCACGTTAACTACTTACTTCTTGTTGTTTGTATGCTTATCTCTATGACATTATGAAAAGAGCCCAGAGAAAAGAGAAAAAAGGAGGCCAAGTGATCGGAGGGCCGGCGTTCGATTGGATAATATTTGCTGGGGTTCATTCTATACTACTATGTGTATAGCTAGCAATCAGAAGGTCTCGCGAGCATCGCGAATGGTCTACGAAAACTTCCTTCCAACCATGTAGAACAGCTTGTCAGATCAATATATAATGCTGTATATCCCGCTCAGCTGGAAGTAATTCTTTGCCCGGTAAGATTTGCGACCGCGATAGAGTCAGTCTCGAGCGTTCGGATCCGGATCGGGGTGTCAGACATTAGGAGGATTCACGGATCCGGAATGAGGATGGAAGGAGTCTGGAAGTGTCAGCTTGACAAGACGTTTCG